CCTGTTTGTCAACTTGTTTGTGATGCAGTCAGCAAACTCATACGCACAGAAAAAAATAGGTCCTTGGGCTACAAACGAGAGGAAGTACGAGCTTGCAACAGTTACCCTGCAGTTCTAAACAAAGAGTTACTTCCTTCAAAAAAATGAAGCTGTTATAAGAAAAAAACCTTTTTGGTCGTGGGGCTAACAAACTCGATAACAGAACAAGCTCCCAATTTTTTCTAGAATGAAACTACTACTGGACGTAAGGCATTCTTTATTTTAACGGAGGAATATATAACGCTCTTCCAGTAAACTTCCCCCGCTGCTACAAATTGACTGTAACAGCAAGGCGCGGAAAAGAGACAAGAGAAAAGGATAAACGAGAGCAAAAATCCTGTTTTAGAAAAACAAACTTGAAAGTTGCTGTACCCGATTTATCAAGAAAACAAGCCAGGTAGCGTAATCCACCAAACTTTTGACCTCGCCACTACCTTTGTATGCTCGGTGAAGCTTCAAGACCAAATTTTTTCTTAACCATCTTTTAAAAAACAACCATGCTCTCCGAAAAATATCTCACAAAGAAAAGTTTAAAAAACTTGGTTCGGAAGAACTTAAGGGGCAAGCCATCACAAAAAAATCACATTCACCAGTTCCGCTAGGGGCAAGTAGTGTGTACATCTACTGACTATGGAAGTATAAAAAGTAAAAATAATTACAGCAGTTCGTTTATAAGGTAAATTTGAAAAAAAAAACCGTGGAATGATAAAGAGAACCTAAACAAGGCGAGAAATTATTCCACACAACATGATTATAAAATATTCCACAACGATATACAGCTCAAAAGTTCACAAAACCAGGCTATTCCAACTGATATCGCAAAACGGTGCGCAAGACTGCCTATTAAAACCATTCAGATAGCCGATTAGAAAACAAATAGACTAACAGTACAGTAAAAAAAGAAAGCGAAGAACTAAAATTATGTTAAAGAAAGCATTACCGTTGTCCAGATTCTGAGACCGATTTCCCTTCAATTAATTCAGATGAGTAATTACGATAAAAAATTACAACGAAAGAAAAAAGTGAGATAAATACCTCTAAAAAATTACTCCCAAGTACACTTGTCCCCTTGATTTCCGCAATATACAGCACCAAACGGTAGTCTCAACAGTGGAGAAGGATGAGCTACGGGAACCGAAAGTGCGACGGTGGGAGTGAAAGTTTGGCCCATATGGGGTGCGAATACGTTCGCAACCTCTAGCAACGCAAGCGTTGCGAGCGTGATTACTGTGATATCATCGAAATAGTGCACGAGAAAATTACGCAATGCCGCACGCCTCGTTCGTAATGCGGATACAATTAATAGCTTGCTAAAACAGTGGAATTACTCTCCTTTGTGTTTTGTATATTTTAGTTGGCAGTTCCTGCGGGAGGTGGAAGCGAAGATAATCGAAGGGGACAACTTGTTCATCTTGCTAATTAAAATCATTTTGAACGTTTTGCTTATTTCTTGTGCAACAAGATCAGTATGGAGGTCGCGAATCGGAAGAACTGGAAAGTTTAGTAGGCGTTTTAATTAGTTAAATGGTATGTTTTACGCAATATAACACCAAGTAAGGGAGGTGAAGCGGAAAACATTTGCTGGAATTAGCCGTTTAGGATTGTCTGCCCTTTTGTTGATTTAAATGCTGCTTGTTGGGACGTATGACTGTGCAAAATAATGAAAATTTAAAGGATTTGCTGTTATGCAAAGGTGGTTCCCTAAGAAAACGGGGAACAAAATAAACGAGTTACAGGGGTTCTATAGTACCCAGTTACTAAATACCATTAATAGTTTTATTTACAGTTATCAATTACCAACAGTATGTTACTGTCAAAGGAATTTTTTGTTGAGTATATATGCGTAAGAACCTTTTTTTTTTAAGCATTGGACAAGGCTTGAGTTTGTTTTTTGTCGAGAATCCATTGTCTTTGGTACAATTTTAGATTAGCGAAGTGCAACCTCATTGTTTACGGGATAACTTCTGGCTCCGTATAGTACAACTTCATTAATTATATGAACCTGTAGAATGCTCTAGAATAACTGCTCGATCAGTGGTCGCTGGTTTTCTATCGTGATCAATTTTCTCCCCGATTTTAGCTTATGGGTTTTTGTACCGGTCGCCTTCTGCTGCTCTTTACTCCTTTTAGTTGATCTTTTCAGCGACATCCTGTGTCCGATAATTAATTTTTATTTTAATGACGTATGAAAAGTGTGCTTGATCGATTAAATAGGAAGGGAATGTTGAAAAGTTATAATAAAATAATAAGGGACCAATTGTTCGACAATATTATTGAAAAGGTTAGTTCAAATAGTCACAGTCGTAATGTATCCTGTTTATCTTATCACCCAGTTATCACAACACCTAGCAAACAGACAACGGAAATAGGAATAGTCTGCGACGCTTCAGCTAAGTTAAATAAGGAATTGTTTAGTTTGAATGAAGGCCTTCAAAGTGAACCCGTTTTGTTACCACAACTTTGTGGTATTTTATCGCGTTTTAGACTACATCCTTATGGAATTATAGCTGACATTGAAAAAGCATTTTTCCAAATTGAGCTTCATGAAAAAGGACCGCAATATGACGGGATTTCTGTGGCTATAGAACCATCGCAAGAGTTGAAACCCACAAATTTTGAAATTTACGGATTCGGGCGAATAGCATTCGGCGTTTATTTCAATTCCATTTTTGTTAACGGTTTTTTCTAAAAGAATATCAGAAAATGAACCTGTGGCGGATAGGACTATCTTAGCAAAAATCGTTCATAGTTGTTAACCACTAAACTTACTAGCTGCAGCGAATTTGGAAGCCAAAATCCTTGTACAGTCATTTTGGAAAGGGTCATATGCCTGGAATCAAGGCTTACCCGAGGAGGTATGCAGAAAATGGAGCGAAATGGAAAAGTTTCGAAGACGACGAATAGTTCGTTCAAGGAAGAAAGATGAGTTATTTGAGCTACATGTAGATGCCTCTGAAAAGGCTTATTCCGCGGCCGTTTATTTGAAAAGCAAAAAAAGAGAAAATTATTTTTTAGAACCTATTTTCCGCGAAAATCGTTTTTGCTTTGTCAAAGGCATGACAATACTTTGATTGGAACTGCATGCAGTTGTAAGTGGCGTACTTGTCATGTCGTATATCCGTCGGGAATCCAGCCTTCCTATTACTCGTGAAGTGGTCTGGTCGGGTCCAAAATGCGTTTTGTATTGGTTGCATACGTCTATGTTATCATCAGTATTTGTCGAAAACAGGTTAAAGGAGATACGAAAAGCGACTGATGTACAAATCTTTATGTACCGACAGAAGATAATCCAGCAGATATTGCTACCCCAGGATGCACATTAAAGAAATTGGCAGCAAATCGACGCTGGTAGAATGGACCTTCTTGGTTGAATCAAGCGAAGGAATATTGTCCTCAGGACATTGAATATAAGGAGCTTAAAGAAGAGGAAGTTTCAACGAAGGGTCCCAGTCGTGTTACTCTGAACGTGATTATTAATGCACCGGTAATTAAGGTGGGTGATTTTTCAAATTGGTACAGGTTTAGGAAAGTAATAGTTCATGTTTTTAGGTTTCTAAAAGGTAAACTCTGAAGCAAGTTATTTGCAAAAACCAAAGAGAAGCCTCCCATAACTGAATAAATATTTAGCAAAATTAAAAATACAGGTTAGATAAGCACTCAATAACAACAAAGTGCTGAACATTTCTTGGTACAGTTGAAGCAACTACACTCCAAAAATTTTTGATATTATAGCAAAAGGAAAAAAAAAAATAAAATGAAAGATCAATTAGGAGTTTTCTTTAAGGATGGAATAATAAAATGTAGTGGCCTTCATAGTAATTTGTACTTACTAAAAGAAACAAAATTTCCAGTTTTTCTTTAACATGATGGAGAGGCGACTAAACTCATCATTACAAAAATTCATCAACGCCTTATGCATATGGGCATGCAATAGGTACTTGCAGAATCTAGAAAGAAATAGTGGATGACAAAGGCAAGAGCGATGATTAAGAAGTATTTGAGGAAATGCGTAATATGTAAGAAATATCAAGGACCGCCATGTGCCCGATTACAAATGCCAGCTATACCAGCATTTAAAGGCAAAAAATGCAAAACGCTTGATATAACAGGATTGATTACTTTGGTCCTGTAACGTCAAGGACCGACGATGTCAACAACTTAACCGTCAAAAGATGAGCCTGTATATTTACGTGCCTTGTGACACGAAATATACATCTTGAAGCTGTTTTTAGCTTGAGTGCAGCGGCGTTTTTGAATTGTTTTAGACGAGTTATGTCAATACGAGGACGGCCGAGGATCGTTTACTCCGACAACACTACTGAATTGAGAGCAGCAAGTAAGGCATTGGCAGAATTTTGGGACGGACCAGTTAGTACTGGACGAGAATGTTTCGGCCTATTATGGCAACCACGGGGTTAAATGGAGATACACAACAGAGTACACCCTGTGGCGCGTAGGATATTTTGAAGGATTCTTATGAGTGGTAAGAGCTTCTTTAAAAAAATCATTGGTTGAAAAATACTGAAATCCGAAGAATTTCGGTACATGAAGTAACTGCAATTATAAATTCTAGACCATCAGCATATATTTATGATGAAGTTACCATCGCTATATTCCGTCCAATCGATCATATAACGTCAGGAAATTCTACAGAGATGATATATATTGAAATCTACGACGACTCAGAGTACATTCCTCTACAGGAAAGAAAAGAATTCATTAACGTTCATAAGAAAAATTTAGCATTTAGATGCCTCTTGGGAAATTTTTTGTGGAGAGTACCTACTAAGCTTGAGGGAAAAACAGACTACAGTACATAGAAAACAGAGTGACACGGTTCGCGTGAAGCCAGAGACGGGAGTACTGGTTAAGGAAGTAGACCTCAAGCGCGATCGGAACATCGAAAAAGTTCCCACTATTAAAACAAAGGGTAGTGGTTATCTGAAATCTAAAGACTCATTCTTCCGAATAAACATCGCGTTGAACGGTCACTAGCTCTACTTTTTCCTCTGGAGCGCAACCAAATTCAGTTGGTATAATTCCATAATTTTTGAATTTTCAAGTAAATTAAATTTATTATTTCTCTGTTTTTCCAAATATTTTGAAATTTCTTGAATTTTAATTTACATTTCTTTTATTCCCCTCGCTTCAAAGCACACTTAGTAGCCTGCACTTGTTAAATGATTTATTTGCATTTCAACTTATCTTTTCCTTTCAATTTGAATTTTATTTTCTCTTTTTTTGATTGCATTTTCATTGGACGTAAATTTTGGTGTTCTTATTTCGTTTTTGGCGTTTAATTTTTGTGCTCCGCCTTTGTGCGTACCATGTCGATTAGTTCAAAACGTGCGTGGACTAATTTCACTACTCTGGATTAAGAGGTGACTTATGTAGTCTCTCAGCTTGAGAGAAATTATACGGTTCTAGTATTAGACGTTGATAATCTGAACAGTTAGAGTATGTTAAAGACCGCGCCACTGCTAATGCAAATTGTGAAAGCCAGGTTGTTGAACCAATTCAATAAAGTTCAAGTAAGATTATATGAAGTAGCCCAGACAACAAGGGTGGGGGTTCAAACAATTCCTATTTATGGGCAACTGTCCGTCAGTTATTCTTTACGTCAAGGAAAGTTAAGATCTTCGGTACAAGTTAGGGACTGCACGATTACATCAACCGATCCACTATCGACGGTGTTAGCAGTGGTCCACTACATACATTGTAGATCATCAGTAGTGGCCATATCGGCTGTTGGATTGGAAGGTCAGGAAGGGATATGCGGGAAACGGATTTAAATGCGAGGTGACGTTGGAAGTGGGAGTGACTGTAGAAGTTGAAGTATGTCAGTTAGAAAAAGATCGATTGTGGCGTTAAGGAAGGCCAGTGAAGGGATCTTCTTCATAGAAGATCATAAAATTCCAGACCATTCACTTGCATGGAGAACTTTTATCGATAAGTTTCCATGCGCTCGGAGTTAACTTATCGAATTGTATGACTAGCTAGAAGAGTACGAGTGACACTTTTCCTTCCGCTTGAAGGCACAAGTAAAATAAAATTTTTCTTTTTGTTCGTCATATATTAGTTTTCAAGTTTTTATAAAGTGCCATAAAAGATACATTTTTATTTTAAAGTTTTTTTGGTTTTGTTTTTATTTTTTTCATTCTTTATAACTTTTGAGATCTTAAACACAAATAAATAAATTTTCTTTTTCCTTCATCCTTTCAAGTTTTTAGTTTTTGTTTTTATTTTCATTTTTCATTTAATTTCTTTTCTTTCTTTGAATTTTCCTTTTAAAATGTTATTTTTTTGAAAAAAAGCTAAAAACCCAGTAATCAGGGCACCAAACTCCAATTTTAGGCATACTATGAAGACTCAAGAATCGAGTGATAAAGGGGTTTTTACCAATTTGTATGTTATATTTCATACCATTCCATATCGATTGTACTTCGCCTCTTTTCCGCAGTAATTAGCATACGTTATTTAAATTATTTTTATTCCAGAATATTATGTTAATTCCATTTTCTTTATTGTTTTTTACCTTATATCTTTCTTAATTCTTTAATTTGTAAATAACTTGTTTCTCTAGCCTCCATCTGACTGCCCTAATAATTTCACCTAGTTGAAGCGTTACCTGCCAGCCTCCTCGAGGATTTCGCGGCAGCATGTGAAATGCCAAAGTTTGACTTGGGCGACGTCACTTCTTAAAGGGACGCTTTTGGAGGAGTTTCAGGTAGCAAAGGTAAAGGCCACCGTTACTTTCACGGGGGGAAGACTCCAAGGAAGGGGTTGTTAGCCAAATCCTGAGGTAAGGATAGGAGGTTGGAAGGCAATTAAAAGGTTTAAAAGGATCTTCGGAGCTTCTAGTAGTTAGTGTTCTTTGCCGATCAATATCGATCGACAGCGTTTACAATCAAGTCGTCTTTCAACTCTTATACGTCTCTCATTAAGCGCACGTGGCATTCCATTTTCTGGTTCTTCTATTGCTTCTTTAGTTATTTATTTCTTTACTTGTTTGTTTGTTTTTTGATTGTTACTCGTTTGGCATTGTCAGTTTGCGTTTAGAATAATTTAGCCTTTGTTTTCTTATTTATTGTGGTATAATATATATGGGTGCTCATATCCCATCGTTGTTAGATCTAAGTTCTAATATTGGTATGGATAGCGACGATAAAATACAGTCCATCAATTTTACCTTAAATACAGCCAGTGGTTGATGTCGTAGTTCCCAAGCAACTAGTTGGGACTACGGTATAAAAACAAATTATTTTGAGTTCTCAGAAGGCACTGTATGAGGAAGACTCGTAGTCATTTTTCGTTGAGGAAAAGAGTTGGTTAGTCGCGACAAAGACAGTGAATGACATCCAAAGACAGCAGAAGGTAACTTTCAGCTTCAGGGATATGCAGACAAAAGCAAAAGTTCTGAAGTTTCATTAGCCAAAAACCTAGATCTTCGCTGTGAATAGAGCCAACAACCACTACGCAACATAATAGCTCACAATTACCTTCGTCAGATGACAGCTCAGCAGTTGAAGGTATATCTGGACAGTTTTTGTGCTGTTCGGTAGAAAAGAGAAGAAAGTTTTTGAGCTTCGTTCATTCATCCCCTCTTCTTTATCTCTTTTGTACTTGCATTATAAAGAAAAACTCTTCATATTTACATGGCTTTCGCTTTTCACCAAAATGCACTCTTAG